CGCCCCCGCCAGCATCACCGGCAGGATCGGCTCCTCTTATATCTCCGTTATCAGGTAATCCTGACGTTTTGATTCAAAGAATAGCTTCTCAGAGCGTAGATCCAAGGTGGCATATGAAGGTTGAAATTTTTAGAATATATTTTATTTTTAATGAAAGCCTGAAGAATGAAAACTTGAATCACTTCATAATCACCTAGATGTTGATGTGATTTATATTGGATGTCATTTTTAAGTGGAACCCAGTTTGGATTTTAATTTGCTTTTGTTTTAAAATAAACAAACTTAAAGGGGCTCTTTGTCTACGGGAAGGATTTAAGTCGAACAGATTTCCATTATTGCTGTAATCTTGAGGAGAAATATTTGCGTACATAAGATGTACGCAGCACTGCGTACATTTATTCAGGGGTACAATATTTAACTCGAACAGATTTCCATTATTGCTGTAATCTTGAGATGATAAAACCTGCAAGTTGTTTCGCTTGACTACTGTCAAATATTTTCACATCCTGATCATTTTTTTGCTTATTTGTTTTGAGAATTTAAGATCCATGAGCGGGAGAAATCCTTAAGAAGATGTTTCGTGGCAGGTCTTGAGCAGGATTTAAATTTAGTATTTCCAATTAGTAAAAAAGAGCTTAACCTTCTCATTTCTCCCAGTTCTACCTTAAATCCGGAATTTATAAAATCTAGGGTTTCGGCAATTTAAATTAAATCTTCAGCATCTCACGAACTCCTGTTTTGTTTTCTCGTCGTTTGTCCCGTCGATGCCTTCCTCATCGAGCTCCTGTTACGACTTCGTCACCCCTCCTTTTTTTGTGAAGGGGCACGGGTAGAGGAAGAGGGTTACAGAACCCTTGATCGTTGGAAGCTAAAACCCTTCTCTTACGCCGATTAGGGTTACAGGAAAAAAAAAAACATTCTTCAATACTTGAGATTACAATGTTGAATAACAAATTAAATTGAGATACATTAATTAAAAATTATGTTTTAATTAATAATATTATTTAATTAAAAAGGTGTTAAGCAATTTGATTTTATTTTTATTAGTTTGGCAAAATAGAAGTTATTGTGCTCAATTAGCTTTATAAGGGACATTATATCATGATTTATTAGGATATTATGTTTTGCTAATCTTGATTTATTCTATCTAATTAATATGATTAAAGATTATTAGTTTAGGGTTTAGGTACAAATAAATTAGATATAAATATATTACTTGAAAGAATAAATCAACCTTAGTAGTTAATATTGATTTATTAAAAAGGTATTAACATAAGCAAATCAGTATTATTTTTTTATTTGATTTGATCTGATTAACTGAAATTGTTTTGTTCAATTAGCTTTGTGAATTATTAATTAATAAGTAATGGGGATGATATTTTATGCAAATTATGATTTATTTAATTTAATTAGAGTTGATACATGCCAGCAGACTGTATTGCAACCTGGAAGAGTTCTTAGTAGAAAACGTCGTCTGCTTCTATTTTTAAAATAAGTAGATTTGGATCTAACATATTCTTTAAGCTGCAGGACAGCTTTTTGTGTGTAAATAAAAATCTGCTGCTTATTTAAAATAAAAATTGATGGTCAATATTTTATTTTGCATCTTGAATTAAGTTTCATTCTTATTACATATGAAACTGAGTTTTAATGATTTAGGTACGCATCATGTGTTTCATGATATTTTTTTCAAAATTGTGCTCTGTATGTTCCAGATGCTTTGTTCAATTATAAGATGGTTTTTAATAATATAATTAAATATTTTTAAATTCTTCATCATTAGTCTTATTTTTAGCTATTTGATATTGATTTCATAAATTCTCTCTTTTTTTTTTAAAACTTTCATGCTGAGTATTATACACGGCGTTAAGCATACTCCATAATTTTCAATTTTTTGCATTTATAGTATATTATAACTACATTTATTTATTGAATATTTTGTTATTAGTTTTATCAGCTGATCTGTTGGGTGCAATTGAGATTTTATTTCTGCTTTCTGATCTGTTTTTTTGTGGCATTTGAACAGGGGGCAAGGAATGGAATCGATTTAGGAGAATTTCTTCGTCTGATGCATATCAGGGAACAGTTGAAGGGGGGTCAGCAAAGAGTCACTCTTCACCTTATCAGGTGTGAGCTCTATTGAGCTTTTGATCTTTAGGGATTGAGGAGACAAGAGAGAGTGAATCAGAAGAATGTGAAGGAAGCAGATGTGGGTGTGCATCCTTCTAGATCTATATGTTTGTGTGTGTGTCTATCTATATCTATCTATATTTATGTATGTATGTATGTACGTATGTACGTGTGTATGTATGTTTGTGTCAAGTGTCAAGACAAGTTGGCCGCGGTGTATGATTCTGCTGTGCTGTGGAGCTTGAGTTGAAGAGCGCTTGTGATGGTAAAGCTACTGTAGAAAGCGGCTAACACGTGTTTTGTTTTTTTGGATATCAATAAAAGTGTTTTGTATTTTCATGCAACCTGTTTAATTATTGCTTCACTGTGCTATTTGAAAATCTGTTTGCTAGTTTATCTTGTTACTTATCAATTCAATTGATGCTTGATGAATTAATTAACTGGCTGGTTTTGTTGTTAATATGTAGATTTTAATGTACGGTGAAGGAATTACTGTTTGATCAATTGTTAATTTCTGAACTTCTGTTGGTGTTGAATTCAGATTTATCGTGTGAGGCATACCCATAAATCGGAGTAGTAGGAATCTTGAGGGAGTAGAGAGAAATAAAAGAGCACACACAGACTTGTATAGCAGTGAACTGTTGCGACCCATTTTATGTATTAAAATTCGTGTTACAAGAAAAAAGATAGAGAGATTTCCTTACAGAGTATGAGTCTAGAGAGCAGTGCCAACATCCCATTCTTATGCTATGAGCCTCTTATTTCTAGAAGAAAGAGGGCTAAAATGTGGAATATTATTTATCTGTCTTTGTTCTAATAGGGGTGTTACAAGATATTATTGTCTTTTGTTATTTCTTTTAGCATTTGCAACAAATTGACATCTTTTGATTTACTTTCACCATTCTGGTCGGCAATTCCTCAAGTAGGTCGATTGAGCTAGTGTCAGTCGGCTATTTTGCTTGAATATTGGTTGGCCTTTGCTCCGGGAATTTGTTCAGTTTTGAGAGAGGTAGCTGCTTGATCGAAGGGTGGCTGGTCAACATGTTTATTCGTTTATTATTTCTAGAGATCTTTGAGGATTTTTGGGGGATAAATCTTTGTTTGGTTGTTGTCGTGAAAGTCCGTTTCTTGTTGGCCTAGGTAGTCCTTTGGTCTTTGGACTGACATTCGGTCGATTGTTAGTCTTTCATTCGGCCGATTATCAGTTGACTGTAAGTTTTTTAATCGGTCTTCTCTACGAGTACTTGTGTCTTTTCATCAAAAGAATAATTCTTGTTTTTTTTTTCTTTTAACCTAAACTACTAGATTCGCTATATTTGCACATACTATTTTTTTGGTGTTCATATTAAAGTCCAAAATTTTCTTTGTTCATTGATAGTGATAGCTGCGATAAGGACAAATAAATTTTTACTGTAATAAATCGAATTCTAGAAGTCATAGTTTAATGTAATGGTTGGACTCCTCTGAATTTATTATCATAACCCTTATATATTGGGCCTAGGGGTCAATTCTCATCATCTAGAGTCCGTCCTTTCTTGGATTCACTCGGTTTATGCAATTTCTTATGGAGAAACAATCTAATTCAACGCTAAAACTCATCGATCGCTCGGTTTATGCAATTTCTTATGGAGAAAAAATCTAATTCAACGCTAAAACTCATCGACCGGGCTAAATGCTGACCGCCCTTGATGTAAAGCATTGCCTGCCTGAAGCCTAGCCCAAGAAGAAGTTGGCTAAGGAGAAAATCTTAATGTAAAGGAAAAATTATTATGTCCGTCGTCTGGACGCAGCTCTCTCAGTGTAAAAAGCCTCTGCATTTGATATATTGATAATGCGAGTAATTTCCGAGATTAACCAGCAGCGATGACAATTTCACGACTCCGCCACGGAACGCAGGCGGCAACCTCCGTTCTGAAAAATGTCATTCTCCAAACATGATTTTACGATAGGCAAAAAAAAGAAAGAAAACACAGCGCCCCAAACAACCCCCAAATCTGCTTTTTTAAACGTGAAGCAACGCAAAAGCTGCACCAAACACACCCTAAGAAGAAAAACTAGCAACAGATATTCAGATAGCATAGTAAAACAATAATTATTCAGGCAGCATGAAAACACACAACACTTTTATTGTCATCCAAACAAACCAAAACACATGACAACCGCTTTTTTACAGTACTTTTTACCATTCACAACAGCTATTCAACTCAAGCTTCACAGCACAGCAGGATAATAAACCGTGGTCAACTTGTCTTAACACAAACATACATACATACATACATATAGATAGATAGATATAGATAGACGCACATCTGCTTCCTTCACATTCTTCTGATTCACTCTCCGTTGGTGTCTTTACCTCTCCTCAATCTCTAAAGATCAAAAGCTCAACAGAGCTCACACCTGATAAGGTGAAGACGGACTCTTTGCAGACCCTCCTCCAACTGTTCCCGGATATGCATCAGAGGAAGAAATTCTCCTAAATCGATTCCATTCCTTGCCCCCTGTTGAAATGCCACAAAAAAACAGATCAGAAAGCAGATATAAAAATCTCAATTGCACCCATCAGATCAGCTGATAAAATTAATAACAAAATATTCAATAAATAAATGTAGTCATAACATACTATAAATACAAATAATTCAAACTTATTGAATATGCTTAACACGGTGTATGATAATCAGCATGAAAGTAAAAAAAAAAAAAAAAGAAAATTTATAAAACCAATATCAAATAACTAACGAAAAGGCTAATGATGAAGACAATGAAACATAAAATTTTAAGAAATAAGGTTATTGGAGCAGGTCTTAATGCACAGAGAAATTTTAGCTCGGGTTCACCGTCTTAAAAGTTATACATTGTGAACCGGAAGATACTTATTGATGATTTGCAAGATTATTTTTTATTAATTAATAACAAAACAATTTAAGATAATTATAAACAATTACTTTTTAAAAATGCAAAAAAAATGTCTTTTAAATTATTAAAAACCATCTTATAATTTAGCATCTGGAACATGTAGAGCACAATTTTGAAACAATATCATGAAATTTTTTTTGTTTTTGATGACACACACCTAACTCATTAAAACCTAGTCTCAAAAGTGATAAAAATGAAAAAAAATTAGGCTGAGAATCAAAGAGTCTAACTTGATTCAGGATGCAAGACGTATGTTTTAAGCAATAAAATATTGACACATCAATTTTTACTTTACAAAATAACAATACGCAAGCTGTCCTTCTGTTTGAGAATATGTTAGATCCAAACCTAATTATTTTAAAAATATAACCACACAATCTTTTCTACTAAGGGTTTGTCGGGAGCATAGGCATTCTGCCTGCTTCGTTCTTAAGACCACCACCACAATTTTGTCTGAGGAACTAATTTCTTGTTGTTTTCAAGAAATTTTTGTGGTGTAAAACTATTTTTTTCAGTCTGGCTGTGGTGGCAGTAACAAAGTTGATGTTTGATTTTTTTTTTAATATATATAATATATATATAGCTTTACAATCACCTTTTAAAAACCTACAGTCACCGCAAAAACACCCTAAGAACTCTTCCAGGTTTAAAGCCCATCATTCTACTGCTTTCACGCCACATATTTCAAGATTTAATATTTTTTAAGATTGTGTAATATTATTATATCTACTGGCACGTATCAACTCTAATTAAATTAAATAAATCATAATTAGCATAAAATAAGAACCCAATTACTTACAATTAATAATTCACAAAGCTAATTGAACAAAAGGATTTTATTTAGTCAATTCAAATAAAAAAATAATACTAATTTGTTTAAGTTAATATCTTTTTAATAAAATAATATTAACTATTAAGGTTGATTTATTTTTAATTAACATATTTATTTCTAATTTATTAGATTGAATGTTTATAATTTAAGTTAATCATCTTTATTAATATTGATTAGAGAGAATAATTCATATTTAACAAACATAATATCTTAATAAATCATGATATAGTATAATTTATAAAACCAATTGAACAGAACTTCTATTTTGCCAAACTAACTTACAAATAATATCAAATTGCTTAACTCCATTTTAATTAAATAATGTTATTAATTAAAACTTTACTTTTAATAAATGTATCTAAATTTAATTTGTTTAATTCAATATTACTAATTTTAAGGAAGAGTAAGAGGAGGGTTTTAGGTTCCAACCATAACGTGTCCTGTAACCCTCGTCCTCTCCCCTGCCGCTCTTACCCAAATTCCTAGGAGCTCGATCTGGAAGGCATCGACGGGACCAACGAGGTGTAAAGAAAAGAGGAGTTCGTGAGCTGTTTTGAAGATTTAATTTAAATTGAAGAAACCCTAGATTTAATAAATTTCGGATTTAAGGTACAACTGCGGAGAAATGGGATTTAACATCATGTAGGTTAAGTTCTTTTTTACTAATTGGAAATACAAAATTTAAATCATGTTTAAATCCTGCTGACGATCTGCTACGAAACATCTCCTTAATGGGAAGATTTAGCATTAGTTGGATCGAGTAAATCCGGATTTGTTAAATCCAACCCCTTACTCGATTTATGAACTCCGACTTTAACATGAATGGAAGCCAAAATTCGGACCTTAAATCCATGAAACATTTTTTGTTTTGCGTTTGGCTGAATTTAGTAAATCCTGGTCATAAATCCTATTAACAGTGAGATACAAAATATCACCTAAGGATATCTCCCTCACATGGATCTTAAATTCTCAAAAAAAATGAGGAAATAATTTATCAGGATGTGAAAATATTTGACAGCAGTCAAGCGAAACAACTTGCAGGTTTTTAATCCTCTCAAGATTACAGCATTAATGGAGATCTGTTCGAGTTAAATCCTTCTCGTACACAAAAAGCCCCTCTAAGTTTGTTTATTTTAAAACAAAAGCAAATTAAAACCCAAGCTGGGTTCCACTTAAAAATGACATCCAACATAAATCACATCAACATCTAGGTGATTAAAAGGTCAGGATTACCTGATAACGGGGATATAAGAGGAGCCGATCCTGCCGGTGACTGTGGCGGCGTCGGCAAGGAGCATCCCGAAGGCCTCTTAATCATAATGCTCCTCGTCACCCTCGGTGTATTTTCTGGCGAATCATAACCGAAATCTTTCGAGATCCCGCCATCCCCCATCTCATCTTCCGCAGTCCAAAATCCCCCTGCAAAGCCAAAGAACAATAAGAAAAACCCTAACTCAAGAAGAAGAGCGTGCTAGGGCTCGAGCTACCTTTCCCGGAGTACGAGCGGAAGGAGAGTGGAGTGGGCTTGCGAAGACGACCGAGGCCTTTGTCCGGTTGAGGTCCGGCGAGCGTGTCGTCCCAGAGCTTGTCGAGAAGACCCATCTTCTTCGTATTAACTAGAAAATGTCACTGATCAGAAGAGCTCTCCGACCGACTGTGAGGAGGGGGAGGCTTTAACGCCATGGATCAGATAAAAAAAAATTTAGTGTTATAATCAAATGATGATTAACCCAATTCAAAGATTCCCTATGGATTTATTACAAAAAAAAAAAAGTTTAATATTTTAATTTAAATTTAATTTAGCTCTTATATTTAATTAAAAAAATGCAATATAGATTTTAATATATTGTTCATAGTATAAGAATCTCAAATCAACTTTATAATTTATTAAATTTATTATAATTAAATTAAAATTTGAATATTTTAATTAAATGTTTTTTCTGCTTTTTTAATTAGCCTGCCAGGGGTGACGTTGCAGGCGTATTGCACGAGAAAGGCGCAGGACACCACGGGGCGCAACAGAAGCTCAGCGGTGTTTTGAGGCCAAAATCGAAATTTCCTCTCTCGATTCAAATTGAAGCCCTTTGGTTCTTCTGCAAAACCTAGCGGCAAGAAGCCGCAGAGAGTTGTATGTAATTTTCTTACACTTGATCAAGCTTCATGCAATATCTTACTGTTTTAAGTATATGCTCTATGTCTTTTATAATCTGTTTTGATTTGAGAATTGAAGCCCTTATTTGTGGCAAATATTTAGTGTTCTGGATTAGTGTGTGGTTATTTTGATACAACTTTCACTTTTATATGAGCTCCTTACTTCTATGGATCAGATATTGTGGCAGTTTTTTTTTTTTTTTTTTCCTTTTTTTTTTTTGGAATATTATTTATTTTTTATTAGAATCTTAGTTAGCTTAGATCAAAGATTTTGGAAGTTATATTAGACAATTATTTATTTCTTTGTGAAATGAATGATCATTAACTTTTAAGCATTTTGTGATTTCTCTACTGTTGTGACTGTTATAGGGAAAAACAAATTTTTTTTGAGCTTGTGTACATGAATATCTTGATTATGCCTAAACAACAAATTAAGGTATTCTTATTTATCTTATATATTGTCATTTTATTGTAGAAAACGAACTCAGATTAATCTTTAAGCACGAAAGGCATCAGACGTCGTAAAGTTTTTCTTACTGCAACTTACAATGTGTGATATTTACCACTTTGAAAGGTCCAAATCAAGGAAAAGGATTATACAGATGTCCAAGAAATCAAACAAAGGATGATTGTGACTATTTTAGATGGATGATTGAAGAAAATGATGTATTATACGAACGAAAGTATGTTGAACAAGCATCGAGTAAGGAGGTGGTAAAGAGATCATTGAAAAAACATGATTGTGACTTGAAGTTCATGTTGAAAATATCAATCGTGTTACATTTTGTAATAATTGCAATGTTTTTCTTAGTATTTGTACTCCTTTGATTTTGATGATTGTACTATAGTATGTTGAAAGAATACCGTTGTTATTGATGAAGTTTTAGTTTATTTTAGATGTCCAAGTAGTTTAAAGTATCAACTTTTGTAAACTGAATTATGTTCTAATGTCATTTTGGAATGATTTTTAATTGAATAAAGTGTGTTATCTTATTTGTCTTCAAATCAGAGGAATGTATTTGTATAAGTTTCTAATGTATAACTGTTATGTTGTTTTTCAGTTTGACCTGTTATTCTATTACTCATTTCCTGCTAAATCCAATGTGAAATCAATGCTTAGATCTTCCCAAAAGGATTTTGGAATAGGTAGAGGAATATTATACCTTTCCCATAAGAAAAACAAAAGATAACAGCCTTATCACTTTTCCTTCCACATAACCTCAATCCTCACTTCTGTCTCTTCTATTCGTAACAAAGACAGACTTTGTAAAAAGACTTCAGATTGCAGACCTAGAAAAATAAGGTTTTCTGCAGCAACATATGAACCTCATGCATAAAAATTAAATTAAAAAATAAAATTTATATACACAGCAATCAATTCTTATGTGTCATGCCCGTTTCACAAGAGAATAATGTTTTAATCAGATGACCATGAATTCATGAACAGCAATCAATTCAAGTCCGCAAGAGAATACTGTTTTTGTTTCTTGAAACAAGGACAGAAAAGAATTATCCACTTAATCATCATTCAACAAAAGAGGCTTTAGAAAAAGGGGCATTTACATACATGCCACACAATTCTTATGAATTTACATATCTAATACCTAAGCTTCACTTTTTACATTTATACCACCTAAATCTTTCATAACACATCAAAAACACCACTCTGTTAACTTTTAAAATGTGAAATATACATTTTCATGCATTATGCATGTGTAAGATGGCATAAGTGTAAATTTGAAGTTTAGTTCTTAGATATGTGTCATACTCTTAAGGCCAATATTAATATTTTGAGGCATTTACATACATACCACTCAACTCTTTTATATTCGCATATCTAACACCTAAAATTTGCTTTTTAACCTTTATACCACCCAAATCATTCATATCACATAAATATATAACTATTTGAACTTAAAAAGGTGAAATAAACCTTTTAATGGATACGTAACGTGGTGTAAATGTAAAAATTGAAGTTTAGTTGTTAGATATGTATATAATTAGGAATTACATGGAATGTCTATAAAACTTCCTCGACTGATGGGTTATTATTTCATCCAACCTAGAACCAACTTTATTTTGAACCAGAAATGACTCTAATACAGTGTTTGCATCCAAAGTGAAAATAAAGAATCAAAAGATGACATTTGAGTTACTCATTGATGAGGTCAAGGAAATAACAGTTATAATTAAGGAGCAAATGCAGATTTGCAGAATTTCAGGTGAATGTTTACCTGCTTAACTACTATCTTACAACTAAAAAACAATAAATGGTTACACTGAGAAAATATAAGAAATCATAATACCTGCCATTGTGATGGAGCTAAAAGCATTGAGGCCTTTTGGATCAAGCATGTTCTAAGGCATCAGTAGGTGTCATGTTCTTATATTCTATCTGAAAATTTGAGAAGGGCAATTTATCATAATGAATCAGGAAATACTAAGAAATGCTTTAACACACGCCCACAGCAATATATATATATATATATATATATATATATATATATGTAAGAATTCATCAAAATTGGCACTTACCAAATAGTGGTACTATGCACTCTTCTGGCCTTACAATGAAAATATGTACTTCTGCTACAGGATGCATTCCCTAAATGAGGAAGACAAAGTTGATCCACATAACTACAGAAGATGATATAGAGAATAATAATAATGATTAAATGGGGCATGTTTTCATTACATGAGAATAAGTTATGAAGACTATTAGAATAAGAATGTCTACAACTGAAGGAACAAAGAGGTAATCTCTGGTGGAAATCACAAAGTGATCAATTCCATGAGCCTAAAAGAAAATATTAGAATAAGAATGCATAAATTGTTAAAAATCATATGGTTCTTCATCAAATCCACCTCTCTTTCACTTGGAAGTGTATGCGCTGTAGGGATGATAAATAAGGTTCTATATAGCAAGTTTCCAGTAGGCCAAAGAACACGCCGAAATAATCAGATGAAAACTAAACGATTAATTCTCTCATTTCAAAACACAAAAAAATAATCAAATCCAAAATTACAAAAATTGAGCAAATGTAAAACTTCACTCAGTAAGTTTGTTCCATTCCTCCCCTTTTTATTTGTAGTTTAGTCCTAAATCTAGTAGTATAACTCCTATGCTTCGAGTCATTGGTAGAATTTCCATTTTTTTACACTTTCAAACTTCCTTGACTCAACGGATTCTCACATGTAGTTCTATGGTGGCTCCATAGTCCGCATCGCCCGCATTTATGAACATGTCTTCTCTTAGTGACATTGCTCTCTAGAAAGTGTTTAATTATGCTCTTTTAGGTCTACCCCTTGGCCTTGTAGTGTTGGGCACTCCAACGCATGTGGTGTATGTCGGCACATTCCACTGCTCTTTTCTTGGAAGAGTTGATATAGGAACCTCATAAGCTGATTTATACCTACAAATGAAACAAAGAAATTAATATCATAGAACTAACTTGTAACAAAAGATAAATAATTTTATACAATTTAACAACCTAGAAACGTAGTGGCAATCATGAGCATAAGTGTTCCATAAAGGGTGCTCTTTGGAACCAATGAATGTTGCTGCATGAATGTATGATAAACCTCTAATTTTGCCACACTCTACAAGTACATTCTCTAGTATTCATATCCACTTCATGTCTTTCGTGACTTTCTTCAATCTCAGCTTTGTAAAGTGTTGACGGCCTTACTAGTAGCTGTTCTTTATTAGTCAGATATTTCTCTAAAGTAGTCCTTGACATATGAGACTAACTCACCCTTCCAATTGCTTGTCTTTAGCTTACTATTCGCCCTTACTTCCATATGTTTTGCACAAATCATGTCAATTAAATCAACCACTATTTTGTTCTAGTTTTGCCAACTCACGAATTAAATGATTCTGCAAGATTGTTTGTGTTATAATGATTCTTGATCTCAATAAAAAAATCACTTCTAGATCGCTTTTATGGTAAATTCTGTAAATATGCATACACTTGCAGTGAGCTATAACTCAACTTATTCATAATATCTTCGAATTTATGCTTAGTGTAATGGTTAGATGCAGACTACACTAAGCTTGCAACTTTATTGATGTCATTATAATTAAACATTTTTTTTAATTCTTCCATAAATGAAAAATACATACTCTGTGTTCAACGTTTTGAAATGCAAGTTCAATAGCTTTTGCGAACCCTTCCTCCATGTCAAATATGAAAGCTTTCTCTTTTTGCTCAAATGCGAACATGTTTGTCAATTGTTTAAAAAACAATTGCCATGTCTTCTTTGGCTCTGTTTCAGCAATAGTGTAGGCTACAAAAAATAATCCATTATTTCCATCCAATGAAATTGTAGATAAAAGAGCACCCAAATACTTAGATTTCAAATGACATACATCAACACCAATCGACCTAATATAAATCCATCAATTGAGGCTTTAAAACAAACAAAAAATCTTTTGAAAGAGAAGTCTTGTTTGCTACAAGTGTATGAAATATGAGATCCAGTATTTCAACTTATCAATTCTGCTTGCAATGTAGGTGCCCACTTATAATTATTATCAACCGATCCGAAAATGATAATTCTTGCTTCTCTTGATCTTCAAAACTTCATATATGACAGTGAAATACCATATAAATTCTCCAAAGAGTTATTTATCTGCATTGGAGGGATGTCAGGATTCTTTTTTACAATATTTTCTATCTCATGAGCTACCTAGGATGTTGTTGTTTGTTTATTCCCTGCTTCGTTCACACCATGACATAAATGTCTCAGCTCGAATTTTTCTTACTTCAAAATAATTTTCATTTGCACATAGAGTAGCTCGTACTCTTCAAGAGCATCCATAATGTGAACATAATGCAACGATGCAAAATCTATTGTTGGCTTGAAACTTCAACCCAAAGCTATTTTCAATTGCAAGAGAGTGGAGAATCACAAAAACGAGCACCATTTTTCAAGTCACAATCACCTACTATTTGTTTAATAAGAAAATCCTTATTGTAAA